AGTACGCTTCCTTGCGCGTTCTCCACCTCTCCTCTCCTCTCCTTTCGCCATGACCGGGCCACGAACATCATCGCTGTACAAAGCCGTCCACGACGATCCGTCCACACCCGGCCTTGATACACCCCTCAACGAACCCGGACCGTCCAACATCCCGAGCGGAACTATTGTGTATAGCAAAAAAGCCCCGAAGGTCCCTGAAAGCGTCATAGCCAGGTCCAAAGTAAATAAATCACACGCCAAGCTGCGAGCGAATGTGAGGAAGGCGACTGACGGTGACGACGATGCCCTGAAGAAGATCCTGGAGAAAATGCACGCAGATAATGCCGAGGATATAGACATGCAGAACCCAAATACCAAGAGGCTCCGAGAGGCCGTCTTAGTAACTTGGGCAATCTTTCTGACAGAGATACGCCCAGATTTGTCGAGCGACAATCACTGGGATCACTCAATTGTGCAGTCGTATGCAAAAACATATCTCGAATACAGGGTGAGTACCTCTCACACGGTATCGCTCTTTCACTTCTGATATTATCATCTGCTAGGCCTGCTACACCCGTGGGAGGAAAGGCGGGAGTATCAAAGCCAGCACTTTGACTCAGACACTCTCGAACCTCGTCCACTGCGTCTGGAATTATACCACAGACGCGCATGGGAACCGAGCTGGAAAAAAATTGCTGACCGAAGGAGGTCTGCACAAAAAATTGGAAGACAAGGTCAAACAACGTAAGTTACAATTTCAAACGCATATATTCACTTGGCGGTGCATATACTCATGCTTTGGCCAGTTATCACTGAATACGAGCTCGACCGGTACGAAGACGAGAAGGTCTACTATGGACGACATGAAGTTCGCCTCATGATCGCCGAAGCCATGTCTAACTCCCAGACAGCAGGATCGGGTCGCTTACCCAAGGTCCAAACCGTATGCACGACACTCTTCCCCATGTTCTGCACTGTTCGTCCTAGCAGTCTCGGACCGAACAACCCTCAATTTGAGAAGGAAGGGAAGTTTCCTCGCCTGGGAGATCTAAGGGTCTTTAGGAGGGCATACATGACATACGACATTCAATTTGATTGCAAGCATTTTAAAGTAAGTCGTCTTTACCACCAATGTCACCGTGACGATCCTAACCACCGCTTAGGGTCACAATGAAGGGCTCGGACGATGGCTCGTTTTTTTATTACAAAGCGTCGAGCGATGCCATAACGTGGTGTTCGATCCTACGCTTTGGATCATTGCATATCTCTTCTTGAGAGGGGCTTTTGATTTCCCTGTAAGCACACTCAAATTTCGCTCGGTTGTAGCAACACCAATCTCAGCATGGGTTAGACTCTCGAAGAATTTTTTTCTTTTGAGGGCGCGGAGGTCGTCATCAAAGACGACAAGAAAAAGGAACCTCTGTGAGCGTTTACTTTATCCAGGTCTCATGCCAGTTCAAATTCTGAAATTACGAGTAGTTTTTGCCAAAGCACGCCAGGGGGTCGCGATCTGGAAACAACAAAACCAATTTCCTCCAAAAGTATATCCGAGTGTGTCGCTACTCTTGCGATCAACGTGGGGCTTCCACGCGCAGGACTCGGAGCCCTTCGCCGCGAATCCGGAAATAATGTATTCTATCTATTATCTTTCCATTCCGTCAAGTTATTTAACTCACAATTAGTTCGGAATTACTATGGGCAAACATGTCGCTGCCATGATACTTAACCACCGCGAGGAGGCGACCACATTCGATTTGCACTACTCTAGAAATACCGGTAATTATCCTGTTGTCGGGATCCAATTGGGCGAGATTTCGAGTGTTGAGAATGATGAGATGACAAAGGTGCCAATTCCAATTTTACCTGACCTTACACCCCTGATTGACCATTACTTCACTTACAGCGAATGCTGGCCTTGAACGACTTCTCGAGAGCGGCCGTCACCGCATTGCTCACACAGAAGTCCATCGCGAGCTGGGATGTTGAAAAGGACGGAGAGAAAATTGTCGAAAGGAAATCCGTCAAGGGTAAGACCCGATCTGCGGTACCCGTCCTCAGCCAGAGTGCCAAGGCGGAAATCGAGGTTGGTCAAATGATTCTGTTGTTATTCGCAATCTAAAACATCACCCAATGACAGGACGACAAAATCATCAAGAATGCTTCTGACACCTTTACAAAACGTGTTTCGAATTTTCAGACCCCCGAACGAAAAATTGGGCGCCAAACATGCAAAACGTTACTCGGATGAAGACCGGAAAGGGTGTGTCGATCGTTGATGAGGATAGAATTCCTGATGTAAGTCATCATCACTTGACCGCCAATATTGCAGCTGATGACTAGTATTGATCGTTTGAAGCTCGTAAAAAGACTTACGGAGGTGAACAAAATCCTAACTGAAAGGAGGAAATCGCTACGACGTGCCGCCACGCGCAAGATGCAGCAAGGGCAACACAACCAATTAGCGAAGAAATTGGCCGACGAGGTGGACACCACCGACGCCAGAAACGAAATACTACGCGACATCGAGACCGCTGACAGTACCTTCTTGACTGACGCCCAAAACTTGACCTTGGATGAAAGTACGCGCTGTGCAGATCATATCGCGGCTTTCATGACCCTACCAGCTGCGGAGCTGAAAGTTTACTGGATGAAATGGGCAGAGCAACAGCAGAGTGCAAGTAACTGCGCCGACAGTGACGACGAACCAGACCACGACCACGAACATTTCCGCTCTGCGATAAGATCCGCACGAGATGCCCTGGGTGACGGGAAGGAACCACTCCACAATGCTCAACGCGCAACCCATGCGCCGCACAACTCGAACATCGCACCTGGGGAAGACGAAGATCAGATCAGCCTCGGCGATGGCGTGGAGCGGCAAGGCGAACCCGACTTGATTCAGTTGGACATAGCCATTCTTAAACGACGAATGGTAGAGTACATCTGTGCTCCTGTCTTCGAGGAGCGTCGTGAGAGAGAGGAGTTCAAAGTGGGTCAGAGAGTTTCGCTACATTGATCGTTATTAAGCACACCTCGCAGGCAAACAACGGAACGTGGATGTGCAAGTTATGCAAACTCTGGACGCATTGTCCGGAAAGAGCAAGTAAGACTTTCTCGTCGAAGGGAAGCCGCGATCGGCATATGTGAGTTCCAAAGTCTCTCAATAGCGGCCATCGGTTCACTATTCTTCAGCGAGCGATGGCATGACCCCTGGTACGATCTGGAAGTCAAAATGATAACCGACGACAAACTTGTCTTCAAATGCCCATCCGAGGATTATCAGTGAGTATCTCCATTACCACGCGCGATGAAACTGACCATCGGTGGAGAGGGACATCCACGTTCGACGTTCGCCTGCATTGTCTAAGCGCGTCATGCGTTGACCATGGGAAGTACGTTGATATGGAAGCGAACGCAAAACACAGATTCAAAGTCACGGCGGAGGGAAGCATTGAAGTCCAGCACGACGAGGAAGCGACGCAGGCGGTCGAGCCCGTGGTTAAGGGAGACGAGAGTGACCAAGACCTTGGTGTGGCCTTCCTGTCGGCGGGCGTAGACGCAGTCGTCGAGGCGGCGCAGAACGTATGACCCATTTTTGAGATTTCCGAGTAAATTTTCTGATTTACATGCAGCGCGGAATCACGATCACGCCCGAACAGCGTGAAAACCTGGAGGGCCTATACATGAGCCTGCAAGTCGCGCAAGCGGTACGCACCACAGACCAGCGCGACCATCATACGCACCACGCCGCCGTCCGTCGCGCTGCGTTGTCCCTCTTCATTGACGGACGTTGCGCGGAGCTTCTAGCCCTCCTCGATATTTCGGACACGGCATAATAACGTTTCATTCATTGCTCACGATACGATTCAATACCGCATAGAAACATCATTCTAGAGACAACTTAGAAGTACGACAGCTTTAGACAGCAGAAAGAACCGCAAATTACATGTAGCGAAACAGACCAGTGCGTAACGAATGCAAATAAAAAGAGTTCAATGGACGAAAGCGATGAGTTTGTACGAATCTTTATGCGTGCGACAGAAGTCCGTGGAACAGCGGCGCGGGACAGAGATGCTGGCATTGAGAAGTGGTCGCGACTATGCCTTGTTAATCCTCGCCAGTTCGAGTTGCAGCCGGAGCCTCTCCAGTTCTTGCTCCCGTTTAACATTCGCTTGCTGCTCCCGATCTTGCTCGGCCTTCATGATATTGAGGTTGATGGTGAGAGCCGCCTTGTGAAGAGCGAGGCTTTCTGCGAACTCCAACAGCGTCAGGATTCCCTATAACACAAGTTCCTAGTGAGCAAACGCTACGACGAAGTACGAACTTCTATACAACCGTCTCGGTGAACTGTCCTTGCTCAGCTTTGCGCTTTTTCCCTACAGTCTTGCCCTTTGCGTTCTCGCTTCGGGAACGTTTGCGGGGTCGCTCGCTCGAGTGGTCGGATATTGCGCTTGTGGAAAGGACGGAGCATATGCGCACTAGAAAGGCTTCAAATCGATCATACGTACGTTGCCTTGGAAGTAGATCCAGTTTTGCCTCCACTGTCAGTAGTCGAAGGCCCGGTCGGGTTTCTTGTTTGTTGGTGAGCCTATGTACGTGAAGGGTGCGCGGGTGACTCACATCCCGGCAAGAGCGCGACCCACGTCCATCCCATAGGGCTTTCCAATTGGGATGCGATGATCATGTATTCGGAGGATGGGGTCGATAGCGGAGTCGTCAATAACAGCCTGGCGAACAGATTCCGGTATGGGCCTTCTAGCTTCGTTCGTGGTATGGAATTGCTCTTCGGCGAAGAAAGGCGACGCGGACATTTAGATGGGTGGTGGTAGTAGGAGGCAAGTAGGAGGCAAGTACGATCAACGACAGACAAAGTCTGACAAATCAAGGTTTCTATATATGGACACTTTGATTTACCCAGCGCTTCGAAATATTATTTCCTTCAAAATCCAAGGCGAAAAAAGGCAGAATCAAATGTAAGAAAGAAACTGGCGAGAGATCCGTATGGAATGGTGACAAAATAAAGGTCTTATCAGGGTTCGAACCTGAGTCGCGGGAAGGGAAGATCAAAATCCCGTGTGATAACCACTACACTATAAGACCCTTCGATGCGAAATTTCTTGGAACGGTACAAAATAGTTGGGGAAGGCGGTCTGACTTGAGATTGAGCCATGACAGGGTGGATTCATGATCAAAATCCCGAGTGATAACCACTACACTATAGCACCTCTGCTTCGTTGTTTTTAAGGATGATATAGAGAGGAGGGACGCCGGACTGGATATTCAGTCACGTGTAACATAGTCACAGTTACGCGTCACAGAGAGCTTGCGGAGAGTTTGATACCCGACGAGAGTGCCCGATAAGGGTTTTCCACCTAAATGGAATCAGAACGCAGGTTACCAAAGGCGTTCATCTATTGGCTCCAGACCGACACACACCACGCTGTCAGTGTGAATTCACCCCTTTCGCGGAACTGGTCGTACCGACGGCTCAGGACACTCTCTGCCCATGGGAACGCCATGGGAATTCATGGGAACTTACGAAAATGATTTTATCGATCTGGAAAGATCTTCTGCCAACCAACAAGCGGAGGGTTCTTTCAGTGGAAGCAGTAACCTTGTGATTTATTCATTATCACTGGCGTTCCTGCAGGTGCGAATGTCCGCGAACATGTCGGTCAGACGCTCCGGAACTATATAATCAACGATCGTTCGACTATCCCTGTTTTGTCTCCCCCATCCCCAATCCGCCTTTGCTCATCGCCGCCCTCCGGCGGAGGATGGTTATGAACACTGAGGTCGCTGCCTACCTTCGGGTATCATCTTTGGCAATTGCGCTCTTTGAGTGAGCCGCTTTCAACCTCTGATCGTCCCATTTCTTACCGGTGGGACAGTTTCGTACAGACCATTCCAGGCGAGCTCCGGTTGTACTCCCAACAATCGTCAATACGACATTTGAGGTGCGTGGTCGTAGGGTTTGAAATTTGGCGATCATCTGACATCGTTCCTTAGCCCGGGATGCATTTTATTCATTCTCGTCCGGTACATCAGCGTCGCCGCCCTCATAACAAGTAGCATAGGATTTTTTGGATCAGGCTTCTCCAAAAATGATTGCCACCACTTCTTCCTTGTGGCTCCTACTTTGAAGTGTAAGTGGTGTGTACAAATTGGTGGCCGCTCGCTGAATTTATTTTATTCACAGTATTAGCGACGTTAGTTTCGCAGATCATTATTTCCGTCCGGTATGTCCTCTAAGACGCGTCACCGCCCATATCTTACTTGTTGCCTGCAGCACATACGCTGTCTCACGAAAGTCACTTTGGGTTAAATGGATTCTCGTGGTTATGTTCCTCTTGGCCTTGGTGGTGAGTAATACTTGGCAAATCATACTGTCCGCCTGCAACGTTTTCGTTTCAGCCAGAAATTTTGGGCAATGACTATCGTCGTGTTAGTAAGTAATCGCGGAGTTACATTGTCCGGCCGTTTATTAACGACTAATGAAGTTTCACAAACGGCACAACACAAGTGCGTATGTTCACGTCCGGACGTCGTATCCGACTCTAATGGTTTCCAAGTTGTACTTCTGGCAACTTGCCTGGCGCCAAAATTGCCTGGTTGCATTATCTTGCAGCCATGTGAGAGACTCTGAATTTATGCAGAAATTTTATCGTATTTACGACACCCAGGATTTTCGATGCGGTCGCATGTGGAATTGCAACGTGGTATATTTTCGCTGCTTCAGCCGGCTTGACCATGTAGGTTTTCTAGGACTATTTCCTGCGTCGGCTTACTTACGGGACATTTAGGATGGGTGGTTTCGCAAAGATGATGCTCGGAGAAGGATTAATATACTTCATAGCCCTCACCGGTACGTGCCTTCACCACTCACACCTTCATCCCAATTTTATGATCAAATTTTTTGCAGGCGTCAATATCCTGAATCTTATCCTCTTCCGGACCAACAACTTTGCTGTCCAAGTGCGTATGACCCAAACACATTTTATTCGCGAATCTAACTGTTTTATCCAGTCATCTGCGTAAGTGTATAAGGCCCCCGTCAACGAACGATTTCGTTTAATTATACTGCATCAGCACAACACTTGGTCAAGCCATCACAATGATCTTCAGTCAAAAGTTTATTCTCAATTTATCCGGTTTGCTACCTAAATCCCTGTTCCCTTACGTGGGATTGCTCACACGAAACCCCAACAATAGATTCTGCGTTTGAGAGGTCTTCTCGTGAAGACTCCGTACGTTTCCGCGACACGCCACGAGGAGGCATTCGGCCATACGGAGGCTCAAGTTTCCTTCCCACGTTTGCTTCTCGAGGTGGCAAGAGCTTCAACGGCGAGCAGTCACAAAATGCATTGGAGATCGGCATTCGAGTGGAGAAAGACATTATGATGGACGACCTCTCGCCGTATGGGGATGCAAAGATGGCAGTTTCACCTATGACGACGGACAGCTTCACTCAGACGAAAGGCGTCAGCTGGGAATCTCACGCACACTGAGTGCCGATTCCACGACTACGAACTACCCTCTATGTCTGCGGGCCTCGCACGACGACTTCACGTAGAGTGGGGGCCCATGTATATACATACTGCACCTGTGTGCAGTGGAATATGGTCGTCATCGAAGTCCGCTGCCGTTGCAGGAAGCATTTGCGCAGCATGTGGTGTTCTCACACCTATTGTATAACAATATCAGAGGCGTGGGTGTATGACGAAATAGTACGGTACTCTGCTGCAGAACTCGAGATCTCAAGCTGGTCGGCCCCGAAGAACCATCGGCTGGACGATCAGAAGGACATCGCCAATTAATTTGTAAGATTCATCAGATTGTAATTATTGCCGGAAACAACTCGGATGGAAACCACCGCTACCACCGTTGTTCCAATAACGCTCGGGAGCAAAGAGCGTCGGAAGCTTTCTGCTTGCGCCTTCGCGCAAACTTCAGTCGTCGTCATGGTGAATGTCAACCTCCAGAGCGAGCTTTGCTTGGAATTGTGAAAAATTGCATGACGAAGCGCGAAGTCTACTGTGCTGTTGTACCTGCAAACTCCTGTATTTGTGGGTCCTCGTGTGACCCATGACAGCCGCGAAGGAGGACCACAAGTCATAACAATTATTAATAACATATACATCTTATGGAAGATTACAAAAACGGTCCTGTACAGGGGGATTCCTTTGGAACATCCCCGCTCCATCGCACAGATCCCGCTTCTCAGAGTGTGCGTTACAAATTAATAGGGTTGACCTTGCTCGTCAGCAAGAACATGAAATTTCCCCGACTAAGAGACCTCTGAAAACCCGACTCGGGCTGCTCGTCGCAACACAGACAGGTACGCGACGCAGGGAAAATATTCTGATGTCGCTACTCCATTGATGTGTAGATCTGTGTAGAGATACGAACTCAACAAAACGCTCGGACACAACAATTTATTCTCCAGTGGTACCTTAGCGATTGAAGTAATTACAAATATTCGGACGAGTTGCCAATGTGATCTTCATCCCATTCTGACTGATAACTCTGACGTGCTAGAGATAGATTTTCTTGCACCGAACCTCACCTTCGCTCGCATTTAAGTCTCGCCCTTGAAAGCGGACGTCGGACATGTAAAAATCAAGGACGCCGATGAAATAACGACGAATTATCGTGGCTGGCTTGAAATTCACGGTAGACCGCCGCCGCAGACGACTAACCGGTCAATAACATACCTAATAAACTGGGAAATGGTAGAAGGACCATAAGGTTTCCTCGTCGAAAAATGTCAGGATACGGTGATATCCCACTGCGATTTCACTTGAAACGGAAGAATATCAGAAGCTGGTAATGAAAATGGTGAGCTGTGAATGTCCGAGGGTCATGGAATAGACATGAAGCACCGCATTTAACCATAACTTGGGTGACTATATAATTCAGCGGCGTTCCAACCTGGTTCTTCATGCCGTATCGCAGGGGGGAGACACGGGAGAGCTTCCGTTATTCAATGCTGACCTTTCAATGTTAAGTTGATGTTTTCTAGAATTAAATACCTCGTAGTGCACTTCCACCACCGATGCAACGAATCAGAAACCGATACAACAGCTGGCTTCGTGATTCCAACATTAACGAAGATTTGCCGTTGGCTCAATTTAGGTTGTCGCGGAGTTCAAAATCGCGTCTCGTAAGAAGTGTGCCACGACAAACAATTACTCTTGGCAGTTGCATCGTATATTATTCACCAACGGTACCATTGATTATTGAATCACGGTCTGGTAGAACAAGTAACCACATAACGAAATAAACACAAGATAAACCAAGAGCCACAACACGAAAGGTACACATCCACACGGATTTTGCGCGTTCCGATGCTCATTTTCCGAGTCCAGCTGCAGCTACTCCTCACCAGCCGAACCAGCCCGTGCGACTAACCTGCCGCGCAATTCCATCATATTCTCGTCCTTGCTCGGGCTCCTTCCCATGACGGGAGCTGCCGCCAGGCCGGTCATCATGCCCGTCAACATCGCTCGGAAGTTCAGCTTGAGATGAACCAACCCGTAAGCGAATACCCATGTCGGACTCTGTTCTGAATGAATTAGGGAATGACGAGGAGCCTTGCTGGACGGGGATGAGTTGCGGCGGCGTGGTCGTCTGAGGAGACGTTTCTGACGAGATGTGGGCGTCCAGAGCGACAAGTTCTGCCTGTAGCTGCCGGCGTCGCTCAAGGATGGATTGCAACGAGTCCATCCCGCCGGACACTGGGGATGGATGGACAGCCCCAGAGCCTCCGATCGTAGTAGGCGTGGCCTGGCTGGGGTTCGCAGCGCTGGAGGTGATGGCAGCGGGACCATAAGTGCGCCACAGTCCACTGAGAAGCTGCACTGGGCCAGACACGATATCCCTCATGGTAGGTGGCGCTTCACCAGTCTGATCAGTTGGGGGTGTCGTGCTCGCAGATGCGCCGGTGTAGATATGTGACGATCCCCGCGTTTGCGGAAGACATAGATAGAGAATAGTCTTCATTGTGTAGTATAGTGGTAGCCTGCGCGAATCTTCGTCAGTTATCGTGTAACGTCGAATGAGGGTGCACACTGTGGAGACAGAAAGACACATAACATAAA